GTGTGTGTGTGTGTGTGTGTGTGTGTGTGTGTGTGTGTGTGAGACAAGCAGACTGTCGGCCACGGGGAAAGACAGAAAGAGGGGCTGGAGATAACAGCTCCTGAAGTGCAGAGGAACAGTGAAACAAGGACTGGGACAAGTAGGGAGCAATTTGAAATTGAGTTTTTGAAAAAAAATCCATGCTATTGCCTTTTATTTTTGTATACCTTCTAAATGGGGTAAAATCAGTGTAAATTACGAACAATCTGTACAACTTGACATGTATGACAATAGGCCACAGTAACACAGTGGTATATTTGACTAAAGCCAGATGCTAAAAGGTAGCTTGTTCATTTTAAGATAGCATAAACTTTACCTGGTGATGCAATATCATATTAGATGTGTTGCCTTCTCTGGCTGCCAACAAGCATGTCTTTTTACAGCAGCCAGAGTATTCCAGTATAGCTAACATTATTCTTTTAGATGGGGCAAATGTTTGGGGAACTTGCCTCCTTCAACCGTCAAACAACCTGCAAAGCTAGCAGCTGATGCAGGGGTGAGGGATCTTGACTCTGCAGCTGAACACAACCGGTGGGATTTCACTTCCACTTCTTCTCTGACAAGACATTTAAAAAAAAGCTTTTACTGTAAAATATCTTTGTGGATCTAAATTGTGACTTTTTCATATCAGGGTATACCATGAAACCAGTGTCCAGCCCATGCATAGTTGTAGCTGAGAGTAAGCCTCTGAACACTAACTCATCTCATAAGATCTCTAACTATTGCAWAACATCGAGCATAACGTCATTTATAAGGTTTGACCAAAATGGTTATAACTCTGTTCCTTCTAATCATAAAATGATCTTAGATTAACACTCGGACATAAAAAGCCGCAGACGATATGCATTCCATCTACGGTGATGATAATCATAACTGGAAAACAATGTTCAATAAAATATGAAGTATAGGATTCTGAGGGGAAATAAAATACTTTGATGTTATCTTAAGTTAACTTTAAATGTTACCAAATCAGATTATACCACCCAGAACCTTACATCAGTGAGTAAATCAAGAAAAGCACTGTAGTGAAAAACTGCTAAATAGGTGTTGTAGCATAAAAAATATGTAGTTTTAATAAAATAGAATAAAAGTACACAACTTGTATATGGGTGAGTCAGCAGTTAAATATGAGCTTTAAGGTAAAAATCAAACTGTAATTTCCACCCTCTCCAAAAAAAATAAATAAATAAAAGAAAAGGGCTGAAGAATATCAAACAGACAAACCAGTACTAAAGCACTGAGGTTTGTGTTTTCACAAACTGATCTTCCAAGTTGTGGACATGCTGCACAAACAGATCAAAGTAGGCATGCACCGATATGATATGATATGATATGATATGATATGATATGATATGATATGATATGATATGATATGAAATGTGAATGTTTTTAAAAGTGATTGTTTGTATTGTGTTTTAATTGTGTAACTCTGTAAATGTATACTTTTTGCTGCCTCATGGCCAGGACTCCCTCATGGCCAGGACTCCCTTGAAAAAGAGGTTTTTAATCTCAATGGGACTTTCCTGGTTAAATAAGGGAAATAAATGATATGATATGATATGATATAATATGAATGATAACCAATCACCAATATTACACAAACACACAAATTATTTATATACATAAATGCACAATCACACTTGTGTCTTTTTTGATAATGACCAGACAGACCACTGATGGCTTTTTGCTTCAGTTGTTCCTGGCTGTGCAGCATCACTAACACTATCATGATCAAACAGATACCACTTGACCAACTATTTCCCCTCCCAAAATAAAAAAAACAAAGCTAAAAAGTGGAAAATCAATATCGTATCAAGTATCAATAAAAGTATCAATAAACGTTAATATCAGCTCAGTTTTACTTATCGGACAGATACCGATATTCTAAAAAATTACCAATATCGGGCGATACAGATGTTGATGCCATCACATCGTGCATCACTAGTGCAAAGATAAACTTGAGTTGTGGTGGCCTTAATGGTGGCTCTCCAGGCCTATAATACACTAGTGGAAATGCTGAGGTGCTTTGGTGAAATTGGGAACATGGCTTTTGACAGTAGGAAATTAAGGACTGTTTTGGGTGGTGGGATGCAATTGTTTTAGACACACATGCAGATACATGCAAAAGCATTAAATATAGGCTATAAGTATTTCAACTGATCTTAATAAAAACATTTTAGACTTTAGACTCCTATTTTCCAATATACACAAAGCTGACAATGCTTGACCTTTTAGCATCTTTAAATTGATAGTTCAGACAATGTGAAGTAAGGTTCTAACTTGTATACAGTATCAAACCAAGCATCCATGTTAAATTAAATAGATATTGTAAGCAGATGGCTTTAAAGTCAAGAATGAAGTTGAGCTCTTAGACCAGTATACAGTAATTGGAATCTGTAAAAGTACCCAGATGAGCCGAACAATCGTCACCTATGAATAAATGCTGATGTGTTAAAATAAAAAGCTTTAACTACTGAATACAATTCAAACCACTTGTATCTTTTGTCCTTGCACTGAAGATTTCCCTCCCAGTCAGGTATTCTTGCTTTTAAGAGAAAATGGAAGAGGTGTCCTGTCAGCAAGAACTCG